TTTTTTTTCAATGTTTATTTATTTTTGGGACGGAGAGAGACAGAGCATGAATGGGGGAGGGGCAGAGAGAGAGGGAGACACAGAATCGGAAACAGGCTCCAGGCTCCGAGCCATCAGCCCAGAGCCTGACGCGGGGCTCGAACTCACGGACCGCGAGATCGTGACCTGGCTGAAGTCGGACGCTTAACCGACTGCGCCACCCAGGCGCCCCAGTCTGCTCTCTTTTCTATAGGACACCAGTAGCTAGAGAAGTAGTCAAAAAGGGCAAAGAAAAAAAACCTGGCAGACATTAGACATGTTGCAATTACTGGGGATGAGATGATGTAAGTAGTAGATATCAGCCAACCAGATAACAAATATCCCTGGGTGGACTGATCCATAAGGCTAAGATTCTCATCCTATATAATTTTTCCTTCTGAATTTATTTTATCTATGATAACTAAAATATTTTACTTATTTAATAGTGATGCCCACTTACTGCACAATAGTCACAGCATAGTATTTTAGAATTCAGGCTCTGAAGTCAGATTGCCTGGGTTCAAATCTTGACTCTACCTACCACTTGCTAGCTATGAGACCTTAGGCAAGTTACTAAACTTCTTGGTACTTAAGGTTATTTATGTAAAAAGTAAGGATAATAGCAGCAGCCTCAGAGTGTGGGGTTGTGGTGAAAATTAAGAGATAACACACATGAAGCACACACACTGATGCTTGGGCACACAGCACAGTGTAAAATAAATGCTGCCTATATAAAGATAATATTAGACTATAATTTTTAATTTTAGGTGATAGGAAAGTAAAGATGAAAAATAACTGCTTTGGTTTTAAAATGCCAAGTGTACATCAAAGTAAGACATTTACAGCTCATATTCTAACATGCAGTCAAGCATTACCCTTAAACACAAAAGGGAGTCTGATTAAACCAGTCCTTCCTGCCTTGACAATGAGGGAAGGACCAGTTTCAAAACAGAGCTAAAAATGAGGCTAAAACATCTCCAACAGTGGGTCCAAGGAGGACACAAGTAATATCCTGGTTTTTGTCAGAATGCTATAGGTAATCAAGTTTGAACACAGGTAATAAAGCATTAACGGTAAGTCTATACAGATTAATAATAACATTTAAAAATCTGTCAAATACTTTCAGGAAGTAGCTGGATCTGAAATCAGGGCAATCACATGAATATTATTTGGGATGTACCAAACAAATGTAAATAAAATCTTACCTTGTCCTGTAACTATGACAGCTATTCCTTTTTCTAGCTCTTCAATACCTTTCTTATACCATTCCACAGCTTGCTCCTTTTGTCCTGCTTTAAAACAGAAATAATTATTTGTATATATACGAGGCATTACATACTAGAATATACTAAACATTTCCCAAATCATGCTGTTATTAGATGATATATGAAAAAGAGGACTGTGATCAAATAAATCTGAGGAATATTACTATATGACTTCTTGGTACCTTTAGCATCCTAATGTGTATACATTTCCCAAAGGGGAGGTATAGACATCAATATTTCTCAAAATTTTAGGGTTGAGTCCTTTGTTTATCATCTCATGGTATTGATGCTTGTAACCACTGAAATGCTGTACTATGGAAAGAAATTTTAATTAGGGAGAATTTATTTTAAATAATGGTATTGAAAATACATACAGTTAGAAAACATAAACCTGATTTCAATAATGGGAGAAAAAAGCACTATTTAATCAACCCAACTGTATTCAAATCGGATGTAATTTGTTCATTGTTTTGTGCCTCCTTTTTGGAGTTAGCTTTTTTTTTTTTTTTTTTTTTTTTTTTTTATAATTTTTTTTTTCAACTTTTTTTTTTTATTTATTTTTGGGACAGAGAGAGACAGAGCATGAACGGGGGAGGGGCAGAGAGAGAGGGAGACACAGAATCGGAAACAGGCTCCAGGCTCTGAGCCATCAGCCCAGAGCCTGACGCGGGGCTCGAACTCACGGAGCGCGAGATCGTGACCTGGCTGAAGTCGGACGCTTAACCGACTGCGCCACCCAGGCGCCCCTGGAGTTAGCTTTTATTTTAAAAATGATTGCATCATGAGAACTGATACATGAGATTACAAGTGTGGCATTTAGTAAATGTCTATTTTCTTTCAAACAAATGACTGGTTTACAACATTAATTCTTGATCCAAGTTAAGCCTAAAAAAGACCTAAAAATTCAGCATAATCAATATGTATCAATATGTATGTAGAATATTTCTATAAAGTGTATGTATGTAAAGTGGTAACAACCACATGCAAATCTCATTGTTTTTGAAAATTAATTTCTTAGTCTTTAGAATCTGAAAAGTGGCACAGAGATACAGTAAAGGTGGAAATCATCTATCAGAACTTTTTCTTTTTTTCCCAACTTATGTCCCCATTTAATCAAACAACAGTTCCCATGTCATTCCTTAATATTATCTGAAATTTCAAAGCCAGTAAAATATCATGACTCCCTTGATTAACAAAGATGAAGTAGTCTTACCAGAAGCACCACACACAACTAAGTAATGCTGTCCCCTTATGAATGTGTACCACCTACTCCTTCCACCATCCCCCAAATAAATCACTAACTAGATTCAGCCCCTGGGATGGGGTAATTTCTTACTAATTGTGGTGCCACTAGTATTTCACACAGCTTCTAGGCCAGAATAATGACACATGAAGAAATTATTAAGCATTTGTTATAAGGGTGGGTGGCTCAGTCGGTTAAGCATCCAACTCTTGGTTTAGGCTAAGGTCATGATCTCATCGTTCATAAGTTCGAGCCCCACATGGGTCTCCATGCTGACAACGTGGAACTGCTTGGAATTCCCTTTCTCCCTCTCTCTGTGCCCCTCCCCACTCACTCTCAAAATAAACTTAAAAAAAATAATTTCTTACATACCAATTCAATTCAAATTTCTTACCATCCAATTCAAATTATTTGGATGCTGACCTTCCTATTTTTTAATAAAAAAACCTATTTACATGTACTTTAGGTTTTTTAATTTGAAAAAAAGGGAGGGAAATATAGAAAACAGTAAAATAGCATTTGCATTCTGAGTGGTGGGAAATGATAACAATGTCACATTTGCTTAAACATTTTTTTCTCATCAATTACAATAATAGATACAAAAGAAGTTCCTTTTTTGTGCCTCTTCCCATTTCCAAGCTCCTTTCCTTTCTAGAAACCACTATAATATATTGAGTATCTTTCTAGTACATGTTTTTCTATTGTACCTATTTTATTTCTACCATTTAAAAATTTTACATCGCTTTTGAGTTCTATGTTGCCATATAGAGATCTACTTCATTCATTTGGAGTTCTATATAGTATTCTTTAAAAAAAAATTTTTTAATGTTTATTTATTCTTGAGAGAGAGAGACAGAGACAGAGCATAAGCGGGGGGAGGGTCAGAGTGAGAGAGGGACACAGAATCCGAAGCAGGCTCCAGGCTCTGAGCTGTCAGCACAGAGCCCGAAGTGGGGCTCCAACTCACAAGCTGTGAGATCATGACCTGAGCTGAAGTCAGATGCTCAACCGACTGAGCCACACAGGTGCCTCTCTATATAGTATCCTTTATCATCCTATAATTTATTCGACTATTTTTCTATTAAAATATATTTAGTTTATTTCCAGTGTCTCAGTATTTCAAATAATGCTGCAATAAACATGCTTGTACCTGTCCTTGTATGTATATGTGCCAATTTCTCTAGGGTATGTTTAAGGGGTAGAACTAACGAGTCATAGTTCAGTTCATTTCCATCCACCAGAAATCAACAAACTACTTTTTGAGAGTACCAATTTCCACTCCTAATAGCAGTGTATGACACTTACCACTGGCAACATCCAAATAAATGTTTTAAGGAGGCTGAGTATATTACTATCTGCAAATGAAATGACTGATTACAGATAAATTCACGTGCTCAATACTCAATTACCTAACATTTTTTGATACGAGGTAGTTGATTTGCTATATTAATTGAATCTCTAAGTCAGTATGATAGTAGAAAATGCATAAATAATTATTACAAGACTTATAAGTACAAGACTACTGGAGAAAGGATAGATATATAGGTCAGTAGAACAGAAGAGAAAGTCCAGAAATAGACCCACACACATAACATGGATTGACTTTGACAAAGATGACAAGGTAAGTCAATGAAGAAAGAACAGCCTATTCAAAAAATGATGCTAGAATAACAGCCCTCCATATAAAGAAGAAACCTTCATACAACATAGAAAAAATTAACTTGAAATGGATCACAGACCTAAATGTAAAACCTAAAACTACTTAATTGATAGAAGAAAACAGACAAAATTCTTTGTGATTGTGGCTTAGGCAGAGATTTAGAAGATAAAAAATCACAAACCTTAAGAGAAAAAAACCTGATAAACTAGACTGCATTAAAATTAAAACCTGGGGCACCAGGGTGGCTCAGTCAGTTAAGCGTCCAACTCTTTATCTCAGCTCAGGCCTTGATCTCACAGTTGTGAGTTCAAGTCCTATGCTGGACTCTGTGTGGAGCACGAAGCCTACTTTAAAAAAAAAAAAAAAAAAAATTAAAAGCTCCTGCTCCTTAAAAGACAGAGTTAGATAATGAAAACACAAGCCCCAAATTGAATGGGAGAAAATATTTGCAAACCACTATGTCTAAAAAAAGACGGGGCGCCTGGGTGGCGCAGTCGGTTAAGCGTCCGACTTCAGCCAGGTCACGATCTTGCGGTCTGTGAGTTCGAGCCCCGCGTCGGGCTCTGGGCTGATGGCTCAGAGCCTGGAGCCTGTTTCCGATTCTGTGTCTCCCTCTCTCTCTGCCCCTCCCCTGTTCATGCTCTGTCTCTCTCTGTCCCAAAAATAAATAAACGTTGAAAAAAAAAAAATTAAAAAAAAAAAAAAGACAGGTAACCAGAATACATAAAGAACTCTTACAATGATAAAAAAAATTATCCTCATTAAAATATAGTGGGCAAAAGATCAAATAATGTATACTTTATCAAAGACAGACGTAACTCGCAAAGAAGCACAAGAAAAGATGTTCAACATTATTAGCTTTTAGGTAACTACAAATTAAAATCACAAGATCCCACTAAGTACCTAATTTAGAATGGAAAACAATTCCAATACATTGACTATACCCCCCCCAAAATGTTTTAAAGCACTTAAAATTATAAGACAAAATAAAAATGGACCTCACATATACTTGGAAGGGTGAATACAAAGTACAGCCACTTTGGGAGAAAGTCTGATAGCTTATGATATTAACATACACATGTTTACCACATGACCCAGCAATCCCTTCTTCTTTGCATTTACCCAAAGAAATGAAATGAAAACATTAAAGACCAGTACATGAATGCTTATAACAACAGCTTTATTCATAAGAGCTAAAAACTGGAAACAATCTAGATGTCCATCATTTAGTGAATGGATTAACAAAATGTGGTACATCCATATGTAGAATATTATCCAGCAGTAAAAAGGAACAAACTACTGGTAAATGTAGGAATGTGGATGAATCTCAAAAACATGCTAAACGAAAGAAGCTAGACACAAAAGGCTACAGACTGTATGAATCCATTTAAATGACACTCAGTGAAGACAAAACTATAGGGACAGATCAGATCTGTGACTACCAGGGGCTAATCGAAAGGCAAGGGGACTGATTACAAAGGGGCACAAAGTAGCTTTTGGAATGATAAAACATTCAGTATATGTTGTTGTTATGGTTACCCAACTCTTTGTAAATACTCACTTAACTACACACTCTTAAAAGGGTTCAATTTTACTGTATGTAAATTATACCTCAATAAATCTGACTCTTAAAAAGTGCAATACTCTCAACATTTATGTAGAAGTATATTCGTTGTGGCTTAGAATATTACACCTGAACTACAATCTTCATTACAAGATTAAAATACAAAAATTAGAAAAATATTTTTAAAACATCTGTTTAAAGGGATCAAAGAGTTTTCAAAACAGTGAAAAGTACCAAAATTTGTAAAGGTACCATTTCATATTCATTAGGATGAATTACTAAAATTACAAAAATTACTAAAATATAGAAAGGAAAAAAGCCAACAGAGGTGGGTCTAGCATTTGGAGCACTTTTCTACCTGAAGCAACTGCCAATTCTGAAAGCAAAAGTGGCCAAGAAACTAAGCAGAGCTTTCAGCAGACTCATAGAGCTAAACTGACAAAATGCAAATTCCAGGACATGTCCAGAAAAAATAGTGGCAAAACTTCCAAGATTTTGGTTGGGACCCTGCATTACTGAAGAGTTAAGAACTAGACCAGCCTGCACAATGGCTAGAAACCATACTTAAATCACTTCACTACCTTTACCCTGAAAGTAAGGGAAACTACAGCCCTTACCGTCCACTGATCACCCTTTTGACTAAACTGTGGCAGAAAAACCAAAGCTTCCAATGGTCTCTAGCACAGAAAAGGCCCTCAATACAGTTCTTAGTTTCCTTTATACATTGTTCTTAACTCTATAAACCCAAGTAATACTCAAACTCAACCAACCAAACTGGACCAAGTCAAGAGAAGAGTGGGGCGGCAGAAACTTACATTCACTGTCGTAGTTGAAATTATTAGCTAATAATTTTAACTACAAGCAAACTACATAATCTATGGCAGCGACCCAAAGGTCAAATATTGTCAACTACCTGTTTTAGTACATAAAACTTTACTGGATCACACCTACTATATGAGAATTTTGAGTAGCTGTGACAACTTAAAATATTTACTAAATATTTACCAAATTCAACAACAAAAAATCAAACCCAACATAAAAACTGACAAAGGACACAAAAAGACATTTTCAAAGTAGATATAGAAATAACCAATAAGCAAATGAAAAAATGCTCAACATCAGAAATTAGGGAATGCAAATCAAAACCATGATGAGGCATTGTTTCACATCCATTAGGAAGACTATTATTTAAAAAACCCTGAAACTAATCAATGTGGAGAAATTAGAAACCCTTGCCCACTGGTAGTAGCAACATACAAACGGTACAACTGATGTGGAAAAGTCCCTCAAAAAATTAAACACAGAATTACCATATGATCCAGCAATTCTACTCCTACGCAGATACTCAAAAATACCGAAAGCAGGGAAGCAAACAGATACCTGTATATTCACGTCCATAGTAGCATTATTCACAATAGATGGAAACAACCCAAATGTCCATCAAAAGACAAATAGTTAAACAAAATGTGGTGTGTGTGTGTGTGTATATATAATGGAATATGAGGCAGCCTTTAAAAGGAATGAAATCTGGGACGCCTGGGTGGCTCAGTCGGTTAAGAGTCCAACTCTTGATTTCAGCTCATGTCATGATGTAATGGTTCATGGGTTTGAGCCCCACTTCAGGTTCTGCACTGGCAATGGGGACTCTGCTTGGGATTCTTTCTCTCTCTCTCGTGCTCTCGCTCTCACTCTCTCTGCCCCTGCCCTGCTTGCTCTCGCTCTCTAAAATAAATAAATTAATTTAAAAAAAGGAATGAAATCTGATACATACTACAACATGGCTAATGAACCCTGAAAACATTATGTTAAGTGAGGCAAGTCAGACACACAAAAAATACCGTATGATTCCATTTACATAAGGTACCTGGAATAGGCAAATTCATACAAACAGAAAGTAGAACAGAAATTACCAGGGACGGAGGAAAGCGGAGAATGGAGAAGGGAATATAGGTGGAGAGTTATTATTTAATAGGTACAGAGTTTCTGTCTGGATTGATAAAAAGCTCTAGAAATGGATAGTAGTGATGGTTGCACAACACTGGGAATGTATTAAATGCCACTGAATTGTATACTTAAAATGATTAAAACAGCAAATTTTATGTTATCTATGTTTTACCAAAATAAAAAAATTACTGGGGCACCTGGGTGCCTCAGTTGGTTAAGTGTCTGACTCCTGATTTCAGCTCAGGTCATGATCTCATGGTTCATTAGATTGAGCCCAGCATTAGCACAGAGCTTGCTTAGGATTCTCTCTCACCCTCTCTCTCTGCCTCTCCCCCCACCCCACCCCCTGCACGTGCACATTCTCTCAAAATGAATAAACTTAAAAAAAATTACTAAATGGCCCATTATAAGCAATTTGCTATCCCTTAGTATACAGCAATGAAAATGAACAAAACTGCTGCCATGTGCAACATCACAGAATAA